CCCCGCCCGTCTGTCCTGTGTCTGGACGGTGTATGTGTGTTGTCTCTGTACTCGTGTTCTGCTGGAATGGATGTCCACACACCCAGGCGTTTACAACTTGAGCCCAGAGTCTGAGGTCCAGGGGAGGCAGGGCAATGCTCTCTTTGGGGGTCCCAGGGGAGGCTCCTTCCTCCTCTTCCAGCTCCCAGGGGAGGCTCCTCCCCCTCTCCCCACCCCCACGAAGAGGCTCCTTCCTCCTCTCCCAGCTCCCAGGGGAGGCTCCTTCCTCCTCTCCCAGCTCCCACGGGAGGCTCCTTCCTCCCCTCCCACCTCCCACAGGAGGCTCCTTCCTCCTCTCCCAGCTCCCAGGGGAGGCTCCTTCCTCCTCTCCCAGCTCCAGGGGCTCCTATAGGGCACCTGCACCCACCAGACAGACAGAAAGAGACAGAGAGACAGAAAGCGAGAAATCGCCCCCCAGGGGAGATGGCCACGCCACAATCCCTTCTCCTCCAGGCGTCCCTTGGCTTATGGCCCCGTCACTCCCTTCTCTGCCTCGGTCTCACGTGGCTCCACCTCTGTGTCTGTCTCCTCTCTGTCTCTTACGGGAATCCTGGTCATTGCGTTTAGGGCCCCCCCTACTTCAGGATGGCGTGGAGAGATCCTAATTCCAGATAAGGTCCCCTGTGGCAGTCTCCCGAGGGTGAGAACATGGGCAGATCTCTTGGGGCAGAAGCCTTCCAACTTAGGGCATCCCCTCCAGTCAGCGTGTGTAGAATTCTTCATGGATGTTGAACTTTCTCCCAAACAGAATGACTCAGGACACCCCTCCTGCATGGGCTGTTTCCTGTGCGAGTGTTGTCCAAACCGCTCAGATGGAAACCCTGCCCCAAGGTCTCCTGCACCCTCCCTGTCCTGTCCTGCCTTGTCTAGTCTTTTCTCAGGCCCTTTTTATTTATTTATTTATTTATTTATTTTAAAGGAGAGATTTTTGCTAAGGGATGCATGTGCTCGCTGGAGGGACAGAGAGAAAGCAAGAAGTCACTCTGGGGGGATGACCATGCCACAGTCCCTTCTCCATTCTCCTCTCAGGATTTTGGGCCCGCCTTCACACACACCCGAGGGGAGTTTGAAGCCGCCGGGCCTGGGACTCGAACCACAGTCTCTGTGGAAGTCCAGCGACATAAGCATTACGCCATCTGCTGGTCCATGCTGCCTTTTCTTTCTGTTTGCCAGAGGATGCAAGCACTGGCCAGAGAGAGAGCGAGAGCGAGAGAGAGAGAGAGAGAGAGAGAGAGAGAGAGAGAGAGAGAGAGAGAGAGAGAGAGAGAGAGAGAGAGAGAGAGAGAGAGAGAGAGAGAAAGCAAGCCACCAGGTCTGGGACTCGAACCACGGTCAACCATGTGGGAGTCCAGAGCCTTACCCACCAGGCAATGCCACCTGCTGACGCAAGGTGTTGGCTTTTTGTAAATGCAAGCTACTTGGCTAGCCCCCAGGCTGTGTAGCCAGCTTCTGTCCTCTGTAAGGGCATGACTTTTGCCATGAGCCATGAGCCTGGGGAAGGTCCTTACACAAAGGACCACCCAGCACCCTCAGCCCTGGGCTGAGTCCCCTCTCTCTGCCCTGGTATTTCCTGTGGCTCAGACAGACCCCGCTCTAGTCCGCCCAGGAGCCCCTGTTGCTCGGGACTTCTCCAGCCTGGGGAGCGTCCTCTCTCTCTGTGGCCCTGTGTTCCTCATGGCTCCTTCCCAAGCTTCATACAAGCTTGAACTCGGACAGAAGGATACTGGGCCAGCTCGGAGCTTAAGGTGGCTGGATGGCACTTTGCCTGACGGCATGGTTTGAGTCCCGGACTTGGTGTCTGGAAAACATGCTGGGTGCATGTGTGTGCGTGCCCAAGCTCCCGAGAGGAGAATGGAAGAGAAGGGATTGCGGCGTGGCCACCCTCCCTGGGGGGATTTTGCACTTTTTCTCTCTCTGTGTCTCTCTGGCAAATTAAGAAAAAGAACACGTGGAATCCAGCAGGTGGTGGGTGGTTAAGGTGCTGGACTACCATGTGGTTGACCGTGGTTCGAGTCCCGAACCTGGTGGTTCAAAACTCACATCGGATGTGTATATACGTGTGTGCCCAAAGTCCCGAGAGGAGAATGGAGGAGAAGGGATTTCTGTGTGTCCATTCCCCCTGGAGTTGGGGATTTCTTGCTCTGTGTCTCTCTGTCTCTTTCTCTCTCTCTCCAGCGAACTCTCTAAAAAGAAAACTAAGAATATGGGGGTGGGTGGGGGCAGACAGGTGCTTAAGGTGCTGAAGTCTCACGTGCTCAGCCGTGACTCAAGTCTCAGACCTGGCGGCTTGCTTTCTCACTTTCCTTCTCTCTCCCTGTCTCTCTCTGGCCAAATTAAAAAAATACTAATCAATAAAGTTAAAGAAATAATTCTTAAAAAATAAAAGAAGAGTACTTCATCCTAGCACCATCCAGCCCCACCCAGTTGTCACTTGAAAGTTTACTTCCTGGGGTGGTGGTGAAGTTGCTGGACACTCCCACACGGCCAACCGCAGTTCGCATCCTGGACCTGGTGGCTTGCTTTCTCACTTTCCGTCTCTCGCTCATTCTCTGTCTCGCTTTGTCCTTCTCTGGCCAAATAAATAAATAAATAAATTTAGATAAGATAATTCTTTTTTTGTTTTTGGAGAGGTTTTTGCTATAGGGTGCGTGCACTCGCCAGAAAGACAGAGAGAGACAGAGAGACAGAAAGCGAGAAATCACCCCCCAGGGGGGATGACCACGCACGCCCACGCGCCCGGGACTCGAACCATGGTCGACTACGTGGGAGTCCAGTGACATAGCCATTACGCCAACTGCTGGTCCCGGTAGAATAATTCTTTTAAAAACAACTTAATTTCCTCCGAAAAAAGCCTGAGCCCCTGAGCAAGGCTAGACCCACTCTCAGGTCCTCCCCCACCCCGTATTCTGCAGCTCTCAAACGCAGACACGCTCCTTAAGCGTAAGTGAGCTGTTGCCGTCCGTAGTTACTGTAATTGATGTTTACTGACCCCTTTCCGGCGGCCTGTAGTTCAGGTCCGTGTAGGCTGGGGGCAAGCTGGGCTGCTCATGGCAGTCTCTCCGCGTTGCGGATGGCAGCTGACATGCAGGAAATGCCCACCGTGGGGGACACCATGCGTCATGCCATCATGGAGATTGCATTTCTTTCTCTTTCCTTGTTTTTGGAGAGGTTTATGCTGTAGGGCGTGTGCGCTCGCCAGACAGACAGAGACAGAGACAGAAACAGAAAGCGAGAAATCCCCCCCCAGGGGGGATGGCCACACCACAATCCCTTCTCCTCCATTCTCCTCTCGGGATCTTGGGCGCGCACGCACCAGCGACTGGCTGGGGTTTTAAGCCACCGGGTCTGAGACTCGAACCGCAGTCGACTACATGGGAGTCCAGTGACATAGCCATTACGCCAACTGCTGGTTCCCAAGGTCTATACCATCCAGCTGAGGATCTGCTGCTGGATCACCTACGGTGAACTTTGTCACAGAGAGAGAGAGAGAGAGAGAGAGATGGAGCAGGCAAGCCTCCAGGTGTGAGACTCCGAGTGCCATCAGCCATATGGGAGTCGGGCGCCACCTGCTCAGCACGCCGACTGCTCGTCTGCTGGAAGGGGCATGCGTGGGAGCAGGCTGCAGGTGGTTGAGAAGCCAGAAGGGTTGGCGTCAGGGGATGGGGCACTGGTATTCGAGTGTCCCGCCAGGAACAAGAACAGTACTGTGTCCTTTGCTCTCTGGAGCGGCAGGTGAGGGCCTTTATTCACTTCCCCACTTCACTCCAACCCCCACCTACGAGGTCGGCAGCTGGTGGGGGGATAAGGCACCGGACTCCCACATGGCTGACCGCGATTTGTATCCCGGACCTGGCAACTTGAAACTCACACTGGGCACGTGTGCGTGCATGCCCAAAATCCCGAGAGAATGGTGGAGAAGGGATTGCAGTGCGGCCATCCCCTGGAGGGGGTGAGTTCTCACTTTCTGTCTCTCTGTCTCTCTCTGGCAAGCACGTGCACCCTATAGCAAAAATCTCTAAAGAAAAAATTTAAAAGACAGATTCTAGAGGGACCGGCAGGTGACATAGTGGTTAAGGTTCTGGACTCCCACGTAGGGGACAGTGGTTTGAAACCCGGACCTGGCAGCTTGCTTTCTCACTTTCCTTCTTTCTGTCTCTCTGGTCAAGTTAAATAATAATACATAGTGTTTGATAAATTAATTCTTAAAGAAAAGACTTTGAAATAAAGACAGCTAACTGCTTGGAGGCGGCGACAGTACATGTTAGGGAAGCCCTGTGAGGAGAGATTTAGGTCTCATACTCACACCCTGTCTTTTCCTACACAGGCTGAACGGGGAAACACATGGCCAATAAATACGCTTGCTATGGTTTCCTTTTTCTTTTCTTTTTGGGGGGCTACATTTATTTATGTATCTATTTATTTGTTGTTTTTTTTTTTTCCAAGCTGCCAAGTCTAGGACTCGAACCACCGGGTCAGCTGCGTGGGATCCAGCACCTTAACCACTGTGCTATCTGCTGACCCCTATGATTTTCTTTGTATTTACTGAAAATGTTTGGTCCAGTACAAACACATGCTCTTGAAAGAGAGCGAGGACAGCCGATACCTGGTGCACAGTGGCTGGACCGCACAAGCCCGGCTGCATGGTTCCAGCCCTGGGCTCCGTGGCTGGAAAACCACGCTGGGTGTGTGTGCGCGTGTGCCCGAAATCCCAAACGGAGGGAGTGGGGAAGCGAAGGGATGGCAGTGCCATGGCTCTGCCCAATGGAGGGATGGTCCTGTCTCACTTTCCTTCTCTGTCTCTCTCCAGAGGGGGCATGTGCCCTTTAGCAAATAAAGGAGAGAGAGAGAGAGAGAGAGAGAGAGAGAGAGAGGAATAAGGAAGAAGAAAGAAAGAAGAAAGAAAGAAAGAAAGAAAGAAAGAAAGAAAGAAAAAGAAAGAAAGAAAGAAAAAAAAAAAGGAAAGAAAGAGAACCCCCACTGTCCCCTTGTTCTAGTTCTCCAACGTGTCAGATCTTAGACACTTGTCAGTGTGTCCCAGTACGTTTGGGGCTGACCTGGCTAGGGATTCGAACCCCATGTTCCACGGGTGGTGGAGGGGTGTGTGGCTTCCCCCAAGCAGTGCATTACTTGCCCCACAGAGCCAGCCTGTGCTGCAGATCTCTGTCCTGCAGGTGCTCGGGTGCGGTCTTTGGGAAGCCTGGTTCGCGGAAATCCCCCATTTACCACTTCCTCCCAAATGGAAGGACCATTCAGGGGCAGGTGGCTGTCTCTCTGTCTCTGTTTCTCTCTGTCTCTGTGTCCTGTTTATCCAGCTGCGAGTTCCAGAGGAGAGCTGCTTGGTAAACCCCCGCCTGCTCCGCGTCTGCTCAGACGTCGGCTCTGCGGTCCGTGGGTGCCGGCGTGGCCTCACAGCGTGTGTTTGCCCCTCCGCAGGCACGGGGACATTTGGGCGCGTGCACCTGGTGAAGGAGAAGGCGGCCAAACATTTCTACGCCCTGAAGATCATGAGCATCCCCGACGTCATCCGCCTGAAGCAGGAGCAGCACGTGCACAACGAGAAGTCGGTCCTCAAGGAAGTCAGCCACCCGTTCCTTGTCAGGCTGTGAGTTCTCGTCCCGGTCCCTCCTCCTCCGCCTCTTCTTCATCCACCATGTGGGGACCCTGAGTGTTTGCACGCAGCTGGGCGGAGGGACCAGCCATGGTGTCATGATTATGTTGCCGGCCTCCCACGTAGTTGACTGAGGTTCAAATCCCGAACCTGGTGGCTTACGACTCATCCCATGTGCATGTGCCTATGTGCCCAAGATCCCAAGAGAATGGAGGAGAAGGGATTGCGACATGGCCATTCCCCTTGAGGGGTGATTTCTCACTTTCTCTCTCTCTCTCTCTGTCTCTCCAGCGAGCACACATGCCCTATAGCAAAAATCTCTCCAAAAATAGAAATAATTAAGTGGGGTGGGATGAGGCGGTCGCTCGCGTGCAGAGCCCCAGACCACAAGAACAGTTGAGAGTTATCTCTGTGTCTAATCTTACACACGGGCTAGCACGAGGTCTCCGGACACTCGGGGCTGGCCTGCTTCCAAGAGAAGGAGGCCGTTTCTAGAAGCTCCCTGCTCCCCTCCTGGGCAAGCCTGGTGTCTCTGAGGGAGAGGTGTCCCCACAGGAATCTTCTTCTCCCCGTCCCATGAGGTTCCGAATCCCTGCCTCCCCAGAGAGAGCACGTGGGTGTGGAACCAGCCTGTCACGCTGGCCCGGCTCACACTTGACAGGTTTGCAGCCATGTGGACTGAGCACAGACTTGTCCAGGTGGACGTGTGCTGCGTGTAACCCGCGCTCCTCCATCCACACGCCACTTCCTAGAACAGGGTTCTCAGTCCCTTTGGGCTGCTAGAAGGAAGCACCTCATGGGGGCCCGCAGGTGCTATGGTGCTGAAGGCCCTGGACTCCCACAAGACTGAGCGCGGTTTGAGTCCTGGACCCGGTGGCTTCAAACTCATGTTGGACGCGTGTGCGTGCGTGCCCAAGATCCCGAGAGGAGAATGGAGGAGAAGGGATTGCAGCGTGGCCATCCCCCTGGGGGGGCGACTTCTCCTTTTGCCCGTCACTGTCTCTGTCTTGGCGTGCACATGTACCCTGTACTAAAAATCTAAAACTATGGGCCAGCAGCTGACATAGTGGTTAGGATGCTGGACTCCCACGTGGCTGACCACGGTTCAAGTCCTGGACCCAGCGGATTAAAAGTCACCCTCGGTGTGCGTGTGTGTGTGTGTGTGCCCAAATTCTCAGGTGAAGAGAAGAGAAGGGATCGTGGCGTGGCTGTTCCTTCTAGGGGCTGATTTCTCATTCTCTTTTTCTCTGTCTCTCTCTGTCTTTCTATGAATGTGCACGTCTTATAACAAAAACCTGAAAAGAAAAAAAACAAGGAAAGGAAAGGAAATATCTTTGACAGAGTGATTTATAAAGAACAGACATTTACTGCTTACAGTTCTGGAGTCTGGAACTCCCAGAGCCCTCTGGGGCAGATTTTGCGTCCTCGTTCCTAGTTGGTCCCCTCATAGGGTGAAAGGTCTTTCTCTCTCTCTCTCTCTCTTTTTTTTTTTTTAAAGAATTATTGTATTTATTAATTATTATTACTGAATTTGACCAAAGAGAGACAGAGAGAGAAGGGAACAGTGAGAAAGCAAGCCACTGGGTTCAGGACTCGAACCACAGTCGGCCATGTGGGAGTCCGGCGCCTCTAACCATCACACCACCTGCTGGCCTGAAAGAATCTCTTTTGTTGAAGACACTCATCTCCTTTACGAAGGCTCTGTTCTCACCACCTCATCACCTCCCAAACACCCCCTTTCTTCCTGTACGTGGAACAGCCTCAATCTCAAAACCACAAAGCCACTGGGCTCCACAATCGGAAACTTGGCGAGCCTTGAAATGATGCCTCACGTGGAAAATTCCCGTCTGCCCTCCTGGAATGGGTCATGGTCATGACGCTGCCATGGGAACATGTCACAGAGAGTGACCTTCAGGCTGTGCGTCTAAGATATCGATGAAACATGATTGAATTTTGTATTTAGACTGGTGCCCCATCCCCAGGTTATGCCATTACATGGAAGTAAATATTCCACCATCCAAAAAAAGTATCTGAGGGCCAGCAGATGGTGTGAAGGTGCTGGACTCCCACGTGGACGACCGTGGTTTGAGTCCCGAATCCTGTGACTTGAACATGGCAGTAGGCATGTGTGCGTGCGTGCCCAAGATCCCAGGAAGAGAGTGGAGGAGCGGGGGTTGCAGTGTGGCCATCCCCCCTGGGGGGTGATTTCTCAGTTTCCCTCATAGCGCCTGGTCATGCTGTAATCCCTTTGTGTCACCCCATCACAGTCTAGGCACCTGCACGCACGCCTGGTCGTTTCAGGCTGACTCGGATTCCAACCAGGGTCGCCACGTGGAATCCAGCTTCTCTTGTGAGTGGTGTATTACAACTGTGCCACAGATCTGCCCTGAACTAAAAACACCAGACTGTAATACAGGAATGTTAAAGGTGAGCTTTCCTGGGGCCGGCAGCTGGTGAGAGAGTTGAGGTGCTGGATTCCACCTGGCCGACCGTGGTTCACGTCCCGGATCTGGTGGCTTGATTTCTCACTTTCTCTTTTTCTCTGGTGAGCACATATACCCTGTAGCAAATGAAAATAAATTAATAAACAAAATAAAATATGTATTTTTTAAAAGGCGAGCTCATGGCCGACAGGTGACATGGTAAAGGGTGCTGGACTCTCACATGGCCAACCATGGTTTGAGTCCCAGTCCTGGTGGCTTGCTTTCTCACTTTCCTAATCTCTTTCTCACTCTGTCCCTCTCTGGTCAGATGAGAAGAAGTAAATAAATAAAGTTAGATAAAATAATTCTCAAAACAAAAAGCTGGGTTTTCCTTTGGAAGCACCATGATTTGGGACGTGGGTTTCCCTGGGCCTCTCTGGACCAGGCGGCACGGCCTGGCATGTGTTCACATCGAAATGGAATGGAAGCAGTGACGAACACAGGACAATGGGGACAGCGAGGGATCAGGCCGGGAGGAGTTGCCTCACCGTTGAAAGTGGGCGGCAAGTGGGCGGCGGGACTGCTTTCACGTCTGACTCACTTGGTGGCGTGTTTCCGAGGGCAGGTGTCTTTGAGGGGTTATTATGGGCTAATGCAAACAGTTTTGGCTGGGACATGGAGGTGGTGTGTCCGTTAAGGCAACTGGGTCCCACGTGGTCGACCATGGTTTGAGTCCCGCACCTGGTGGCTTGGTTTTTCACTTTCTCCCTGGGAAGCATGCATGCCATGTAGCAAATTAAAAATATAATAGGAGGGCCAGCAGGTGGGGTGGTGTTTAAATGCACTGGACTCCCACAGGGCGGCTTATGGTTCAAGTCCTGGACCTGGGCATCTTGCTTTCTCACTTTTCCTCTCTCTCTCTCTCTGTGTCTCTCCCTGGTCCAATTAAAAAATAATAATAATAACAAATCAGATAAATAATGAATTCTTTAAAAAAATTAGTAACAAGGGACCGGCAGTTGGTGTAATGGCTATGTCACTGGACTCTCATGTAGTCAACCGTGGTTCGAGTCCTGGACCTGGCAACTTAAACTCACGCCAGGCGCGTGTGCGTGCGTGCCCAAGATCCCGAGAGGAGAATGGGGGAGAAGGGATTGCGGCGTGGCCATCCCCCCTGAGGGGTGAGTTCTCACTTTCTGTCTCTCTGTCTCTCTCCATCTGTCTGGCGAGTCGGATCGCCCTACAACAAAAACCCGTCCAAAAAAAAAAAGAGAAAGAAAAGAAAAAGAATTGGGGGCTAGCAGGTGGCGTGGTGGTTAAAGGTGCTGGATTCCTACATGGCCGACCGTGGTTCGAGTCCCAGACCTGGCAGCTTTCTTTCTCACTTTCCTTCTCTCTCTTTCTCTC